AACCATTTCTGTGAATATATATGGAAAGAGAATATTCTTTTTTTTTTAGTGTTTCGTAGAAGAGCTCTTCATTTGTCGATATTTCTGTGAATCTTCAAATTTTTAAGGCAGCTATCGTCAAACATGGGATTTTTTGTTATTTGATATTGATGCGCCCTCAGGGAGTAATTGCTTTGTAAAATCACTTCAAACTATAAATTAAACCATTTTTGTTGTCGTAATCAATATTCTCCAATAAGAGAAAGTTTCTGATTGACCGTCTAAATATCAACTCGCGTCGTAGCAACACCTCTTCAAATTGAAAAAAAGAATAGTAATAATAAGATTGAATAATAATGAAAGTTGTTTCTCATTTACTAATACAATTCAATTTACATCGTTTGAAAAACATTTTTGTTTTCTTAATTTTTGCAAGCATTCATACAAAATTCGTAAGTAAAATTTCAAATACCCTCATGTCAAGGTAGGTATATTTAAATAAAACGGTAAAAGAACATTCGATAATAACAAAAACTTTTCAAGCCCATAGCACCGAGCTCGTCCTTTATACTTACTTGGCCTGTGACTAGGTCGTCAAATACCACGTCATCCAGGCCGAATGGGCGGAACTCTTCTTCGGCCTGGTCTTTTATAGTCCATCTCCTCTATGAGGTGGTAGTCATCAGTTGTCCTCGAGCCACTTCTCCAATAATCCACCTGCGAGTGAATTAAACGTGTAGCCAGCTGCATTATTTCATGCGCCGAATTTAGTTGTTGACGATATTTTTCAAAGCAATCGAACCATATATCCAGCTGCTACGATTTTTTTTTACCACTTTGTCCCATTTAATGAAATTGCTGCCAGTTGCACGCTTGCTGCCAGCTCACATTTTTTATCACATCGTCTATCCACAATTATGAACAATTTTTTATTTGAAAATTTTAAATAATAAATTTTGTGCACATTTGCTTGGAACCTTTTTCTTAGACTTTTAGTACGGGAAGTGGAGTTTTGAAAATCGTCTACTTGCTTGCAAGAAGACTTGATCACATTTATCAGTTAAAGTCCGAAATTCAGGTGAGAAAATAGCTCGTGGCGAGTTTGAAAGGAGATAAAGCGTGTCATTCTGGAGATATTCAATTAGGCTGAGGAACTTGAATCATTGTATAAGGCTATTGAGGCGTTCTTTAAGGCAAATGTTAATTATCATATTTATTGAGGAAGATCAACAATTCTTGTCGGAGGCTATGCTAGTTAAATTGGGTAATTAATGCAGTAACGATCTAACGTTATAAAGTTTGTGAGTAGCATGTACAGAGTTTAAATTGAAACATTATCTTATTAGTATATATCTTTTTTTAAATTTAATTTAGGAAGCAAAAAGAAAAAGAAAAAGGAAAAGTGTCTACACGCTGGTTTGGTAAAGGAACTGTAGGAAGTGTGCGACAATGTCATCGCTCACTGCCTTGCAGGCGTGTTCTTTCGTTACTGTCAGGCCATTGAGGTATGCCTGGCATCCTAGCGGCTATACGTATATACACTTCAATGCGCAGCTGAAATGAATTTTTTTCGGTAATATTATCATTAAGGTGAGGCTACCAAAGATCCACTTGAAGCAAATGTAAAAACCACGTAGTCTTCTTGTTAGTTTAAATAAACATTTGTATAAGTCATAAAATAAGCACATGCCGTTATAAAAAAGTGTTTTATGTTATGAGAAAACGTTTGCATCGAGACTATCGAGTGCAAATAATTATATATGGCTATGATAACGGTGTTGGCGGTGGTGGCTACTGACAGACCTTTCTAGGTTTTTGTATGATTCATGTGTCAGCGCAGACAGTTTCTTGTTAATTAAAGTAACAGAAGACAATAATGACAACAACAATAGCTATATAAAAGAAACAGTGACAATTTAATTAATAATTTATGGCGACGTGACAAACGTTAATCAATGCTTCTCAAGGCGACTTTTGAGTGGACAGCAAACGCAAACTTCAATTGAATTTTTATTTACGTACATTTTATTGCTAACTTGATTCAAAATAAAAGCACTTCGGTTTTGACTGACGTGATAGGCAATAACGTAAGTTAAGCCCATTACAGACTGCGCTATTCATGTGTGCTTATTAACGAAACTCAAAAATTTTGCTTTATTTTAACCAATTATTTCAAGTCTGTTCATTCCCATAATAATGTTCTCTTTACATCGCTTCTAAATACTTGAGCGAATTATGGATTTTCTTCTATTAGATCAAGTTTCTGTCTATGTTAATTTGTCCGGCGTTCAGTCTGTACATTTATCAATAATAAATATCTTTTAGTATACTTTGGAATGAATACAAGACAACCAATTCCTATGTTTACGGAGAGAAGCAGACAAATCGCATCGGGAAACATTCAAAATTTATAAAGGATTTGCGCACTTGTTGTGACTCGAATATTGAGCGTATAGAATTGTAATTATAAAAAGCTGTATTAGAGCCCTAACTTCTTCTGTTATATTTGAACACTAAACTGCTCTTGTTTGACTTTAGTTTAATTCTGCAACAAGGAGATTATGAAAGTTACTAGCAAGATGACGTTTGGGACAAAAAACATTTGACAGAGTGAAAGTAGAATTTTTCCATGACGATACGAACTGAAAAAACTTTCAGTGTTCGTAGAAGGTATTTATATGAAATTATGTTCCACATTAGTAGCCGAGTAAGCGCAAGATCGTGACTAACAACTCAATGGTCTCCGATTCAAATGTCAAGTGAGATAGAGTTTTCAATACAAACGAGCATATGATCCGGCAGCCTCTAAATCCGTACTTTGTAAATTTATTTACAAAATATGTAGAAAATATATAAATAAGTAAATATGTGAAATTATTTAAGCGGCCTTTTAAACAAGTACACTATTTGATGTCGCGAGCTAGTGTACGATAATTGCGAAGATGAAAATCGTCACACTAGATTGTCTACAAAGCGGCATCTTGAAGCTTTGAATACGAGTGATGAAAAGCGAATGAGCCAGGATATCCAAAACCCAAAAAACTATTTTGGGAACCATTAACATCGATGGCAAAACTAAATATCTATAGCGGTATCAACTGCGTGTAGTGTATTATGGTTTTTACCAGCCGAATGAAATCATCACTAAGATGTGCTATCAGCAATAATTGATGCAATTGCGGCAAAAATTGTGCGTGGCACGGCAAAAGCCATGCTATGGTGAATTCCCAGGAGGATGAAATTCTGCCTATTAGACCAAAACTCTTTCAGAAATTGTTTACAGTTGGCCGACGCTATCAGCAGACGTGACACCTTTTGATGAACACGGGTTTCCGAACGGTTTTTCTAATGACGATGAAAAAGCAGCAGACAAAGACAAGTAATACTCTAATTATCTCCTTTCCATTATTTTGCTCTGAAATGAATGAATTTTTGACCACAAAAAAACGAAGCAAACTAATTTTTACTCTCAATACAATAAGTCGTGAAGAGTGCAGAATTTATTAAGTTTAGTTTACCGCAGAGGATGGCGGCAATCAAGTGCAGCAACGCCGTACGTTGAAGGCCGACTACATAAGAAATAGAAAAGTGATGACAAGGTTTTTTTGAATCGCTCGTGTACCACGAAGAGTAGTCGTGGGTTCCTAATTTTATCCCTAGTTTGCGTAAAGACCATTAAAAGACGTTCGGCCTGCATGCATTTGAAAGTGCAGAAGAAACGCCGGTTTTTATTTTCTCATTTATTCGCCTCAGCTGGCAGGCTTCTAGCGAACCGTCGCCGTAATAAGTTGCCCTGATCCACGAAATCAACTGTTCATGTGGTCGCTAATTTACGAATAAACTATTTATTCGCATTGAAAGTCACAATAAGAAGTTACTCGCACCACGCGAAGATTTTGCGGGACCCTGCTTGTAAGAACATGTATATATTAATTTACGTTGCTGTCAAATATATAAAATCATTTACTATCAAATTTTCGGGTGACGTTAGAGGATTTAAAGCGTCCCTCAGAGGCCTTCCACGTCTTCCAAGATTTCTTTTCCGCAACTCTCGATATTCCTTTACTGCCTAATAGCATATATATATATATATAAAATATATATATAGATATATATATTAATAACAACGTTTCAATTGCTATTTTTTTCGGTTTGTTTAGTAAAATGCATAAGATCTATTGGCGATAGGATCAATATATTCAATAGAATGACGAGTTTCTATTATTTGTTGATCGTTTGCGCTTTATCAAAGAGAGCGACCGTATGTGACGATGTATGGGAGGATTCTTGATATAGGATTGATTTCTAGTTTCGGCGAATTAAGACTGTTAACTAGACGTTTGGGATAAAATGCCAAAGAAAGGATTAATTTACTTACTTTATATAGATCTACGATTTATTGTTCATGCGTTTGCACTTACCAACTTTTATGCACTTTAAGTGGAACTCTAAACAACCAATACAAACGCAAAGCGTGTTCTATTTTGCTTTTAGAGGGGGTTTCAAAACTGAAAGCTACTGAAAGTAGAGTGCATAATCAGCGCCCATAATTCTCCCTATTAACTAGAAACTTCTCAACTACGCAGTTTGGCGAGAGGCGGCATGTCCTCAAAGTTCGGTACAAAATGGATGAAACTTTCGTGGGTTTTTTGTTTATATCTTATAAAGTTTTCTTATTATGTCGACGTTTTACCTAAAGTTTTGCCTTCGAATAACAATGTTATGTAAATCTTGAAGAAATAATTTATATAACTAAAAATGTCTTAGAAGTTTTTTTTGCTTTTTTTCTCTATTACAGAGATTTGAGCAATAATAACATAACGAGACTGGAGGCAAATTCATTTTTCATGGTAACCCAACTGGAAGAACTGTAAGTAATAATTTAGATTTTAAGCTTTAATCCCAACATTCTTTGCCATTAGTGTAGAATGAAAAGGAAATACATTAACTAAATCAAGCACGTACAGATTCATTGCCCAATTTTATTTTAGGCTTTTCGTTAAATCTTTGAGATAAACATAAAATAGTATATAAATCGTGAACGCAAAACTCTCAGCAAGATATCTGCAGATATCTGAAAGGAAAATAAGAAAAAAAACACAAAAAGAAAGTAAATAATTTTCATCAAAGGAAACAAAAAAAAGAAAACAAAATGATAACAAAAGCTTAAAGAAATTTCCTTAAGAAATACGTTGACACAGATTATCGTACTACCTCTCAAAAAAATCTTGACATTTACTCGAATAGTGCGTACATTGTATCACAATAACTTAGACATACGCATAATAATATACAAAATACGAGGCGTGTTGTCAGCGCTTAGTTGCAGACATTGTTTTAAGGGAAAGCAAAAAGTTGTCATTTACTTAAGTATTAATAGCAACGGTAGTTGTATACCAAACGTTATGCTTGCTAAGATTAGAGAAATGTTCTCCTTTATTGAAAACACTCCTTTTGTATATTTTAAATTAAGTTTATCTTTCTTCTTTTTCAGAACTTTAGCGGATAACAGCTTGCATCTTATTGATCCATTAACATTTTACGATTTAAATAAATTGAAACGTTTGAACTTACAAAACTGTGGCCTTAAATCATTGACAGCCCATGCATTTCAAGGCCTAACCAATTTAATATCCTTGTAAGTATTTGACAGAGAGAAACTCTATGAATATTTTTATATGAAAAAGAATTTTGCGTCATATTTATTGCAATGTTTAAAAGATTAACTTTATAAATGGTACGTAAGAAGGTTACATTTGCCTTGTTGTTCCCGTTTATCCGTCACCTCAAGAAAGTAAATAAGGCGAACAGTTTTATATTAAGTTTAGATTTGTATTATTTCTTTGTTAACAATCATAAAATTTGCAATAAATATATTTTCGACCCTTAACATAAGTTGTGGAAAGAAAGACTTTGCCGTACGATTCAGCTGTCAGCTTCCTACCCATTTTTTTTGTTATCACCAATCAATCGCAACATCGTCACAAAGAATTTAAATATGGCCGAGCTGTATGAAAATTAAGGATACGAGTCTGACTTTTGCAGGTAAAATAGCAAGACTACCACATCAATATTATTGAGTGGTGAGTATATCAAGTTAGTTAGAAAGCTTTGACGGGAATTGGGTAAACTGAATTACCTAAGGTAAACATATGTAGTTTGAGTATTTTTTTATTTACGATCGTATTACTTGACCTTGGAAGTGTTCTTGTACTGAATTTGAGGATTTTCGCGGGAACACCTTTTCGTTTGCACTTCTGGCGTAAATAAGTCAATTTGCATTGAATAAAATAAAATTGTACGGAGATTTTGGATTTCTTCGATTTTTACCCTACAGTAAAATAAAAGGCAACTACTCAATGTTTCACATTTTTCAATAAATTTTCTTTTGTGTGCGTAAATTTAACGTAGTTGTATTGGCGAATAGATTTTTATCCTTATCTATGCTAGATTGTATAACATGTATCAAGTATGTATCAAGTATGTGTCACGCCATCCTTCTTATAGAGTTAATTATCAGCCAAATTAACTAACATTATCTGGAAAATCGATCCGATTTATTGCAAACTTTATTCACAGCTCTGACCACAATATTCAAGAACTCAACTTGAGTTCTTATAAATTTTACTTGAAGCAATTTGTCAAATTGTCTATCGAAAATACGTCACAAATTTGTAACAGAAACGTTCAGCCCATGAAGTGAATATCATTTCAATAAATTTAGGTCACAACCAAAAATTGCGGTTTCGTTCACTTTTCTAATTCACATTCGCCCTGCTAAGTTGGGTGAAGAATAAAAATAATCAAAATTAAAATTTTAAAGCGTGTGTCACGTGTTCTTCCCATAGAAATCGGTCGAAATTAGCCGGCAACTCCCATCATAAAAAGCTATGCAGCTCTGTTCATTTTAAATTTTTATTTTATTTATTTAAAAATTTCTTCGTTTATCCACTTTTTATCTCTTTTAGTGAGTTTCAGATCATTTTAATGTGTATATATAACTTCATGTATGTCATTATAAACGAAACGAAAACGCTCATATGGTCCCAAGATGGAAATTTCATTAGTTCACTTATAAAATAAAATATAAATAGAAAAAAATTAAAGAGAGCATAACTATATTTTTCGCGAATGGTGGTAAACAGTAAAAATGCATTCAAGTTATTCGCAGTGGGTATGTAAACGAATTGCCGTGATTCAAAAGTCTAAAAGTTCGTACGCGTCTTCATTTGTATGGCTTTACCTGATCCGATAACGAACAAATTGACTTCAGTGGCAGTTAAGAATATATTAGGTGTACAAATGGATTTTCTCTATTTTTCGACGAATTTCGAATTTAATTAAAATACAGTTGTTAGAGAGCTTAATAATCGAAATATGCACTATGTTCATAGTTTTTTTGGCAAATATCAGTTAGCTTGGGTATGGTCTCGTGGTAAAAACTTCGCGATTTCATCATTTTCGCACATCAACTTTCGTGAGCGGCCGATCTGTTAAGTATCACCACATCAATCTGTATGCTACAATCGGGAGAAATTCCCGGCCAAAGTTGAAGATCACTTCCTTGGTTGTTTTTTCTCGAGACGGAGACAGAAGTATATGAAAACTCATTGTTCTCAACCTGAAAATTGCGTTACATTTTTTTCCAAATTAAATCAGAATAACTGCAAGTCACATCTATCTCTTCAGACTTTGATGTACACCGAAGGACAGATTGTAAACCACTGAAACTTCAAATCAACTCAAAATTATTTTTACGTGAAATTTTGGAAAAATGAACACGACACTTTGACTTTATAAAGCAATTTCTCCACATTTCCAGAATTTTTCTGTATGCGTAATATTTTATAAACATGGTTGCCTACCTTTAGGCGTAACAATCAAAATGAATACGTTCACATCTGTAGAATGTCCATTTAAACGAACGAGCATAATGACTACAGAATATACAATATTTATATTACATATCCCTTACGAGCAATCACGAGAAAACGAAATAATTAAAAAATTTGCAAAAGACCTACCAGTAAAAAAAAAGAAAGCATTAACACGACAATTCTGCTAAAATTCATGATATTATTTATTTTTTAACTTAAACGCCCCTCATCTAATAGGAAGATATGAAATTTTCGTTACTCTGTTACGTTCCAAAGGTATCATATAATGAAAAACTTGATATGTTTGTGGCAGTAAATAAAAAGATCAATTAAATACACATTAAACTTAATCCAATTCTTTTTATACCTTATCGCTTGAAATATCCGTGTCCATTAATAACATTCATATTAGAAGTTTTCTCTGCCTTTCTAATGTTATATTTACATTTAAATATTACATAATATATACAAAATTGTTCGATTTTATTGTTGTTGTTGCTATTCTTCTTTTTTTCTTCTATTTTGCCAAAACGTACTTCACTTATCGTTTTCGTTTAAAACGCGAAATTTTTATTACAACCAATTTGTTCCACTACTACAATGGCACCAAACCCATCAACCGATAACGCTTTGGAATGCAAAATACAAAATGCAAAAATGTCGTAATAAAAAAACGAAGACAATTAAATGGTAACGCCTTAGCTAGCATGGATAGCAACAGCCTGCAGCATCTGCCAAAACTGCGTACATTACGTTTAGAGAGTAATTTATTCTACCGGATACCGACCAATGCTTTGGCTGGGTTGAAGACACTTGAAGCGCTGTGAGCATGAAAAAAGCAACACACAAAACTTTTATCGCAAAAACAAAAAACAAAATATTAGGGAAGAAAAAAATTTCGTGGCACTTTTAAATCAATAAATTGCATAGATTTAAATTTGTGTTTCATCTGCAATCTCTTAAGTTTTTTTTGTTATGACTATTCTTCCAACACTCTAGTACTTCTGTGAGCTGCGGCGAAAAATTGGGTTTTACAGTTTTCTTTTGAAGTCAACTTTACACTACGAAAACAGTCTTGCAGAGATCGAAGCAAATGGGAGACAAATAGGATAAAGTCTAGACAATGCCTTACAATCAATTAGCTAAGCTTTCTCAGTTTTTGCCGAGTTATTGAAAATGCGTATAGTCTCACATTATCGACAGAGAATGCTACCATTCTGCATTAATTCTAAACGCTTCACTTCAAATTGCGTGCGCTTTTTTCGTATTATATGTTGGCATTCGAAAGTGGAATCAATTATCTGACAAGGTTGGGTCCTTCCTTTCAAGCCTGCCTTTATAATTGTTCTCGCAGCTTAATTCACCTTTGTGCACTTCGTTATCCCATGTTATTATTTTCTTCTCCTCGCGCTTTAACAATCTCTTCAAAGATGTGTCAATGCGATCTCTTCAAGATGTGCAGATGACAATGAAATTTTTCCCCTCCAATTGATTTGATAACCAAATATCTAGCTTCTTTTTGGACACAGTCTAATTCAAATTGCTCAAAATAGTTTTCTATAGATAATGCTTAAATTTCCAACGTCCTGACAAATTTATCGATTTTATCAATGATGCGTCGACCAGACCACAGAGAATTTTTCGCCATAAATGCCGCAATTTTTCTTTTTTGAAGCATTTCCTTTTTTGGCAAAATAGTCGCCATATTAGTGATGAAGTATGCAAAGTTTCGGCGGATTTAGGAATCTTTACAATTTTTTCCTTTTTTAACAAATTTTGAACCCTGTCAAATGAGATTTTCACGCCATACATTGAAAAAAACGTCACGAAGTTTTTTTCTTACCAATGATTTTATTATATCTTAATAATAAACATGCTTATTATCAAATTAATTGTGTTGATTGTTTACATAAATATAGGGCATAGAAAAAATTGAAAGGGATAAAAAATTAAATTGAATAACTTTTTCACTAACTATTTGCAATGCTTTAATTCTTCATATTGACATTTGTGTGTATTCTTTATGATCATCATACTCGTGCATCCGGCGCATGCTATTGACTTTTATAGCCAATTAATACGTTTTTTTAGCGAATTTTTTAAAATTTAAACTAATGTACAATATTTGGTGTACCGTGGTTTTTGTGGCTTTTGTGTTCATTTTTGGTTTTGTAAAAATAATATTTTGGTATATATAAGTTTTTCTGGAATTGAATTTATTGCATATGATTGTGGACATTTCATAACGGCTGTGTGTTGTTTATTTCTCGTATGCTGTAGCAATCTAGGCAGCAACCTATTGACAATAATCAATGATGAAGACTTCCCCTACATGCCCAATTTGGTGGTACTGTAAGTATTTAAAAAAATTAAGTAAAATATATTAAAAAAAAGCAAATAGAAAAAAATATTAATATAATAAAAAGTAATCATAAGACGAATGTAAACGTTCTCTACTGGAAACATTTCTACGCTTCATGTGTATTAGTATGAATTGATGACGTTTGCATTGAAACTTTCCGATTTGTTTATGCTCACGTTGCAGTTTTTAACAGATCTCTTTGTGTGACATTTCAGTTGGTTCCCCGATCGGTGCCCATTTGGAATCAAGCGTTGCGATAACATTCTTTTCTGTTTTTCAAATAAAATTTGGCACCCTACTACTATAAATATGTACGTCTATGTTCGTGTAAAAGTTATAATGTGTTTATACTGATCTCAGAAATTTCAAGCACTTCGGTGATCTCAGACGTACTCACGCAAAAAATCCCGACTTTGTCATATTAAAAGTGTATAAGTAAATAACCATGAAATCGTGTTGTCAGAGGGATACGTAAGGTTACCTCTTTCTTTTTGTGCCAAATTGATGCTCATTTTCACTTTGGTTTACTTCCATTGCATTTATATGTGCGTATGTTCATATTGTCATAACATTTACAGCACAAACGGGAACTTCGGAAACCCTATACAGAATATCTATTTTTGATCAGCGTGAAATTCCAAATCAATTTCGTTACGTCTTTGCGTCTGCGTGGTGTTTGTTGTTCAGGCTTTCCTGATAGCAAAAATTAGGATATCGAATTCAAACTTGGTAGAAACATTGGGATTTGCTTCACGCAGTTCGATATTGTGAAATTAGGAACACTTTAGCTACAATTTTTTATATTTACTTAATGAAAAGCAAAAAAAAAATTCGGCCACGCCCACAAAAAAGGTATATCGCCAAATTTTTATTTTTTTTTTCTACTTTTTCAAGTTTTCTCGTTAAAAATTTTATGAAATTAAATATGATCGACGTCACCAAACAGAGGATTAGTTTTTTTTTAAAGATCCTGTCGATATCGGTGTTAAATAAGAGGGTTTAGGGAGCAGAAACTGAATTGTCATAGACTAAATTTAATTTTAATTGTACGAAATATATTGTATAGAAATATTGTTTCTTATTTATTTAAAGTGCTCATCATCTTGATCATAAAATATGTTTATGTATGAAAAAAACAAGCAAGTTAACAGAATTGGATTATTCTAAACAAAAGTTATTAGTAGTTCAGCTAAAACTTCCAAAACACCTTAACTTTACTTATATCACACTATTTAGAATGCAAAGGGATCCGACAGACTAATTGATAGGTTCATAATTGACAGATAAACCACTTAGATGTCATCAACCTCACGCGCAGTCAAGATAAGAAAATTAATATTTTATATGTTTTCAATTAAAATTTAAACTAAGATGACCTACAGCTAAGAAAAATGTTTATTATCTATATATTTTCTCTTTTTTTACAGTCTCCTCAAGCGTAATCAAATAATGAAAATCACCTCTGGCGCCTTTAGCAATTTGACAGCTTTAAAAGTTTTGTAAGTAAATTGTTTTTCATTTTTTTGTATTTTTTCGTTTAAAAATAAGACTTACTAATTTTTTTTTTTTTTAATTTTCCGTAATTTGTGTTTTACAACAGAAACTGTCAATTTTTTACGCTTAACCTTTTATTCATACCTAACAGAATCTTGCTTTCTTCTCTTCTTCAGAATTTATGAGTTATGAAATTGTTCAGTGATCGGAAAAAAATATACGAAAATTCTGTTTCTTAAAGCCAAGGAAAAAAGAAGAAAATTTGCATATCATGTTTAAAAGTGAAAAGTGCAAGCGACAGCAGTAACTCTTCTGCATAATTCAGGCATAAATGTTAGAGACATCCTTGAGTTACGAACTTTTTAATAACGTTTTATGTAAAAAAAATTTTAAAGTAAAGGAAACTTTGAAGTATTTGTTTGCATACCAAGCAATCCTTCAACATTGCCATTACAGTCCTGAGTAACACTTTTAAGAACTTCCTGAATCTTAGGTTAATTCCCATTGATTTTCCACAGTCCTTTTCTAAAAATCTTTAGTTTTTGCTCAAATTAGGAGATTATTTTCTTCATGTCACTTTTGCCATAGGGAATACATTTGCTTGTGTATTTTTGACTCTTTTTTTTTTTTTCTTCATTAGTTCAGGCCAACTAAATTTTAGTGTAAATCTTACTTGCACACACAAAATCAAATATTTCTCTGTGCCGTATTTCGTACAAAATCAAATAATGTATATCTGTAAGGTTGAAGTTAAGAGTAGCATAAATAATGGTGATAAAGAGAAATCTTTGCGCCGTTTTTTCATAAGAGTTTATACATGTATTGTTTATGTTTAATGAGATTTAATTAGGTCAGTTATGCGTCATTTTTGATTGATTATCTTTAGCCTTTTTCCTATTTTTTAATTATTCATGATATCTTCATTGCACAACTTCTGGGATCTTCAAAGGAAACAGTAAAAGTGATCTTCGCAAACATTTTATGAGATCATTTTCATGTTATTAGGAGAGTTATGCAAGGAAATAAATGGTGGTCGAATGGGACATGCTTTGGACTACACGAAGAACGCATCAAAGCTACACTTCTGTGCTATTTATTTCAATACAGCCCTTTAATCGCATTTATTGTCGATAGGAAAGAGAGGACTGAGGACGTCATTTATGGTGCACAAATTGTCACGAATCCTATCGAACACAATGTATTATCTTAGATGGCCTTAATCCGGTCTGGGATGTTGGCTTTACAGGGCCGCTTGATCATACGTTCCGATTATTCTCGCGTTTGATAGCCGTATTTGATACACTTTTCACCTTCCACTTCTACTTAAATACAAATCATTTCCTGAAGTGAAGTCAATTCCGACTTCGCTATCGTTTACGTAGCTTGTTTCGTCACCGACTACGCCCGTCACCAATATTCGTATATATAGCTCAGCTTCGTTTCATTTCAGTAGTGATTCCTAAATGGAGATGTGGTCCACTGCTTGGATTAAATTTCCCGCTGTTAATTCATGTGGCACCTAATTAGTTAGCTTTATTTTACATCCGATCTTAGTCCAATGATTCGATACTATTTTTGGTCAAGAATTAGTTCCGCAACGACGTCATAAGATGTAATGCCTTAGCTTTTCTCAACTTTTTAAAGAATTTCGATTTTGTTAATGATAGAAGCGCGGTGGGTCGAAGTATTTATAGCGTAACTCTGCAAATCATTTGCGTGCCACTGATATTGATGAAACGTTGCACACAAATCATGAATTTTTTCGCTAGACTAGTCAAACTCCCATTGTAAAATATCCCGATTTCTTCTTCAGAATTTATGTCATTTTAAAAATTGCGGTTACTTTCGACTTAATTAACAATACTTTTTATTTCAACTATATACGGTTTGCAACTTTGGTATTATCTAAGGTGCGCTACTCTAAAAGAATTTTTTAAAGAAAGTTAACCAAGCTTTTACCTAAAGCATGGGGAAGAGTGAATGCTTGCCATCTAAACACTAAAACTGAAAACTAAAAAAATCCCAGTTTTTCACGCTTTTAATTATTGTAAACACATCAAATTCTTACTTGTGACAAAACGAAAAGATGTAAGAAATGAATAACATGGCATTGATTTGTAAACAATTTCGTCCGTTTTTCAATCGAATTCGCTATATCTCTCATTGATTTGTAAAGAATTTCATCTGTTTCTGATAAAGAGGACAATGTTTTCATACGGAGGAGAAGAGAAGACATGCGAATTTAAAGTTTAAAGGAAATTAGAAAAATATATTTTCCTATAAATTTTTTTTTTCATTTTTCAGAGAACTAGATGATAATCTCATTAATACTTTTCCGGAAGGTTTAAACAAATTAACACATCTACAAGAATTGTAAGTATTTGCTACCCTTTAAAAGTATCCTTTAAGAATCGACCGCATTTATCATTTTCCAATAGAAGGTTTGTATGTTTTTGAAAATTGATATTTTTCTATATACATTATCTTGCTATTCTAACACTTGTGATCAGAATATGTTTATCATGATGATGACGTCCTTGTTGACTCGTAAGCCATTTACCATTTTTGTTGGATATAAGTCAACAATATGGTGTCAACATAAGTTAGTTTCGTAGTAACGGTGTGAATTTGTAAGCATAACCTCTGCTGTACTTAGGGCATAACTTGGATATATCTTCCATTCTCTTTTAAAGCATATCCTCCATTATTCAGATAATAAACAATTGAAAGTTTGTAAAGCTTCAACACTTGTGAACGAACTTGTTGTCATTGTAATACTAAACAGGTCATCATTGCACATCTAATGCTGATAACTATCAACATAAGCAAACAACATTTAAATTCAACAAAGTTCACCCTGGAATTTATAGATAAATTTAGTTAAAAGAGCTTACAGTTTATAAGTGTGCAAAAACATTTTAATCCCCTAACAAATCAAATCGAATTTGAATTTTGTTGAAACGCGTTATTATTTTATATCTGAAAAAATTGCAATTTAACTAAATAAGGGCTTAACAATGGTTTCTTAGGGGGCTCTTATGCGCTGTTCTTAAACGTTTCTTTACATATCATGTAGAGAACAATGCGATTTGCTGCAAATATTTTATATCGTACACCACATCTGGTAAACGTATATTAAGTTATCCACTCTTCTTATCGATTCGGAATCGCTTTCTAAATTCATTTTACCCTGCTGTCCATGTTTTTCTGTGTTCAACGAACAACTTACTATTTTCGAGATGGTCTCACGAAATCTGGTTCACTAACATACTTTGATCCATGGACGAGCCCTTATGCCAAATTATATCATTTAGATACATTTATCAGCGCTTTCTCAGTATAAGCTCTCTCCTGAAGAAAAGTGTTTATATGATAATATTTTACAATTTTTAATACTTCATAACTAAAATATGTAATAAGTTTTTGGCAGGAAAGATATCTTAAATAAGATTGAGTGATGTCTATTGCAGCGGACAAGTGTTCTTATGAAAAGAGAAGCTTTACATGGCCAAAACGTAAGACTCTTAGTGCAGGATGAAAAAATGAGACCGGGGGCACTATCAAAATTTTGTATACGTCTAATATATTTCTATTAGAGAGACTATCAACTCAACAAGTCGAAATACGTGAAGGACAAAATCACTAGTTCCTTTTAGCCGCGCATTTAATTTTCAAGCGCAGTCTTTCAGTATGTTAAGGTCGTCTTAAGGATTAATGTTGCAGAGACAGATTATTGCTCTCGAAGTCCGTACACCTTACTTGTAATCTGCTGCGTAAACAAAAACGTGCTGAGCGATAGATTATCCGATCAAATATATTCCATATTTAAGACAAAGGAATAAAATGTAGTGGATTGTAAGGACTTGTAAGAATGGGACATTATTACGTGGAAGTAAAAGAGCTAAAATATAGAGTGATTTGTTAATGCAGAAAATAGAAAGCAATCAAAATAACGCATAAAATTAAAGGATTGTAACATTACTAATGTTAAAAAAACGTAAAGGTTTAAGTTATTCGTATAACGTAAATCAAAAAACAAAATCACTTTATTACTTGGTTGCGGTAAAGACAACAGAAACTAACAATATACTATACAGCTGGCAAAGGCCGGGAAGCTAAGCCTGGCAATGTAGCAGTGTCATGTGTGAAAAGAAGGCAATTGAGGCAAACTCATCTACGTGTTTGATTCAAAAGTAGATCGATTTATTGGTACGCCCGCAGTTAATACCTAAACAGTTAACATCGCGTGTACATATAGTTTTATGTTCATTCAATGATTTTTAAGTTCATACCTTTAAATTATTTTTGGCGAAATTCAGTGACCTTTACTACGATTGTTACGATTGTTGAAGACGAGCTTCAAAACAGCTTTTGAATTACATTTTATGTTCTGAGAAAATTCATTTATTATGATTGCGACAATCAATCAACATTCTTTTCTTTCCTTCTATTGACCAATTCTCATCAATTCTATGACCGTGATTTTCGTGATTGCTTATGTGTAAACGCTGACTAAAATTTTCTAACGGTCTTGTTGATTTTTAGACCTTAAAATGTAAGCATGTAAGGCAAAATTTGAATTAAAAGGTTGATGGGTTGATATAGGAAATTAAATCGTTAATTTTGAGAAAACCGATTATCAAACATATTTCACGACTGCTTTCTTTATAAATTTTTAAAATTTATACGTTATTGCCGCGAGTATATGTGAGTGCACTCTATCACAGCAGATTTTAATATCGAGGCCAAAATATTTGTAATCAATCGTTTTCTTCAAGAAATATTGAAGATTGTAACCTTCTTCGTCTACAAATTGTTTCAATATAATCCTATTAATTTTCTTCGGGCATGCCCGTACAAAATTATAATCTTACCTTTTTTTCACTTCTTTGAGGTTTTATGCTTATTTACCATAACACAAACAAGACACGAGTAGTTGAAACTATTAAGTACCTTCTTCAAATGAAAATATATTATCTGCTTAAAAATGGGTTAACTGCGTTTTTTTTTTTTTTTTTTAATATTAGCGATATGGGTATCAAATAAAAGAACTTGCAGGGCAGAAAGCGAACAGCATAGTGGTGATATAAGAGATTTGTACCACGCCGAATATGACAATCTTAGTTGTTATTATTATTATTATTATTGTTGAGTGAATTTATGAAAGCATTCCATTTTTATCTTTTTATGTTTTTATTTATTATTCTGTCAAAATTTTTAATAAAAAGCTTCCACAGTTTTTAAATAAATTGAAAGGAAAAAACGTTAAAACCCAAAGAATAAAGGAGGAAAAACGGTTTTTTACGCTGAAATGTCTGCACGATCAAAACCAACAGCCATAAAGCTACACGTAGGCGTATCACTAGATCGGTACAATAAGCGATAATAAGCGAAGGCAGATAGGCGGACAAAAAGGCAGACAAACTTAACCTAACCAGCAGAACCTGCTCTTCACGAAAGAAGAAAACGAAAAGAAAAAAAATAAAAATAGTCCGGATGTTGAATAAAATTTTGCAAAAGGCATTCTAGCGCTACTACTCTCATACGCTACAGCTCACAGATTAGAAAGTAGTTTTTTGGTTTCGGACCATCGGCAGATGGCCAATTCGTTATCAAAAAAGCAAAGTGTGAATGCTTTTTAAAAAATAAAAAAATTTTCACAATTTTGGAACATTGTTCTGCGGAGCAAAGAAAATGTGCTAGGAAGTTATCTTGTGAAAAACATAAGCCATTTAGGCAAAAATGCATGAACATATTGAACATAAATAAAATTAGGAAACAAAAATAAAATTCCCTTATTATGATTATTGTATTTAAATTTAACAAAACACCGTGTAGCTGTTCTTCCCATTCCAATCGCCCAAACTGGCTCATACGCTATCACTACTTTCGACCAATCTTTAATTGTTTTAGCGTAGGCACGTTACTTGGGTCATCCAGCTGCAAATTGGCAAAAAGATTAACGGCAATTGGCGGAAATTTATCGGAAAGAGAGTAGAATTACGTCTCTCATGATAACGATGAAATACAATAATTTATAATTTAGTCTCCCAAACTAAAACAAATAAAGAAAATAAGTATGCGAAAACCCACATTCCATTTACCAAGAAGACCATTTTGATCATAATTTATGCAAGTGCGCCCTCTCTGGATTTTGTTTTAATCATAATTTATACAAGTGCGACTGTATTTAGACTGGATTGTACTTTGATCATGATTTATGGAAGTGCGCTGTTTCCGGATTATATTTTGATCGTAATTTATGGAAGTATGCCGTTTGTAGATTGTATTTTGAGCATAATTTTTCAAAGTGTGCCTTTTGTGGATGGTATTTTGATCATAATTCATGCAAGTGTGCCGTTGAACGAAAATAGAAAGTTGTCGATTGGCTGTTACACGAAGCAAGGCATTAAGCGAATTTTGGCAATCAGTCTTTTAGCAAATTAAAGAATCTGGAAGAGACGCTATTTGATGATATTATTCCGTAAAGTTTAATTTTGATTGTGGAGAGTTGGATATGTCTAACATATATAATGCAGATGTACAGAAATACCCTCTTAATTGTATGCAATAATGTAAATTGACAATCTCTCATTAACATTATGAAACGAAACAACTGCAAAACTCCGGCTTTCAGTTCTAGTTAATTTTTCGTTAACATAAAAAAATATTTCTTTCTCACAGGCTAGACAGCATTTACCGATTTCCTTTAACTGATTTTAACGAACAGTTTAAGAAAATTGCACCGTCGTGTTACCCCTATGCTTTCCAGCACCGTGATACTACCCTGACAATTATATTAATTCGACTTCCTCATTGACGTTAAATGATAAATGTTATAGAAACTGTTTCAATAAAGCGAAAAATGTTAAATGTTAAATGCCTACAATTTGCTTGGTTTATGTGTATAATATAAAAAATATGATGAATTGAGCGGCGAATATTATTAACGTTAATTGCATATAATAAAATGATGTAATAAGTATTTAAAAAACATTTTTTTTAAAGTATTTCTTCTCGCTAGCTATACGTTTTAATTACGTTTCTCGTTTTTTGAACCGCGGTTCAACTAAATCACTTGTTGGCAGTGTTTTCTGCTAACAATTTCATTACAGTTGAACGGCTAATAACAGACCACACTCTTCTGGTTCCGTCAAAAACATAAGATCGTCTCCCTGTCAACGCGAATCAGCCTCGCATTCGACGTGTATGATACGCCCGTATGTGTCTATAAATTTTTAGGACTGCGAATCTCAAAATGGATTCATTTTTTAAGCCCAGTTAGGATAACCCTTTAAGTTGTATGGCTCCGGCAAAAATCAAACGTTACGATATGCATCGGTATTATGGTGGCTTATTGTTGCAAAATGTAC